GATGCAGGATTGGATTTGTGAGAGGACGTGGTAGTCCGTGTGCAAGACGCGTGAGGCGCTTGGGGAGCGGAAGGGCGGCGGGAGCGGGCGGGCCGGGTTTGTGACGCGGCGAGAGCGCTTGAAGTTGAACTCGATCCACGACGACGAGGGTCAACCTGCCCGTCCCGCACAGCGGCTTTGGCGACTGGAGCAGCCGAAAGGTTGCGCAAGGTTCCGATGCTTGACTGCGGTGGGCGGCTACGATATTCAATCTCACAGTCCACGCCTTTCGGTCTCTTAGTCTAGCCTTGCTCGCGTCTCTGCTCTCGCCGACTTCTCTATGACGTTCTCGCACCTCGCACCTCTACAAGCTCGCCAAGATCACGGTCCATGGACACACTTGCTCTGTGGTAGAGCGCCCTTGCTACGACTCGTGCATCTTCTTTGATTGGTACGTATAGTCTACGCCCAATCGTCATTGACTTGTTTGCTGACTCTACACGCACGCAGGCCCATCAATTCTCGAAACGCATACGATTAGAGTTTTCCATCGATCGTCGCCGTCTCCATGCAGCCGTGGAATGCAGGAGATATCGTCGAAGGTACGTGCACCTGTCTTTCTATGTCTAGATCGCAAGGCTCAGACATCCTTGTAGCGAAACCCCCAGCCGCGCGACACCACAAAGGATACGTTAGACTGGACATCGAAAGCAGGCATCGAAAGCAGGTAAGTACCCATCGATACTATTTGAGATGTCTAGGTCGCCGCGGCTGACCACCAATTTACGTAGACGGCGAGTTGTGGCGCCGCTCGCAATGCCGCATTGTCGCCTGCAGGCGCATATACTTTTTCACATCGCCGTATCGGCCGTCCATGGCTGTCAAGAGAGCCATGGGAGCGGAGGAGAAGACCAACCCGGCGAGAAGATGGCCGGGCTTCTGTACATTCAGTCGCGCGGCGTTCGCGGAGGTCAGTCGTTCGTTTGTACCCTGGGCGCGTACGCAGACTGACCCTCGAAACGAAATAGACCGGCCAAAGCGCCACCCAAAGCACCGTCCGCCTGTACACCCTCTCATCGCGGCCGATGCCGTGCTGTGGACGACACATTTCGGCACAAAGATGGCCGGGCTTCTGTAGAGCGTCGAGTCGCGCGGCGTTCTCAGTCCCTCGCTGCATTCGCGAAGGTCAGTCGTTTGTTTGTATCCTATTCCCGTACACGGACTGACTCTCGTAGTGAAATGGGCTACCTCAGAGCGGTGCTGGTCTGCACGCCGTCTCATCGCGGTCGATGCCGTGCTCTGGACGACACCGATCTCCGTAGGCTCTGTACGTGAGCGGGCGGCTATGGAAGCTTATGGGCGCATCAGGAAGCGCGAGTGGCGAACACCGTCATTAGCAGCGCGCTCTCCTCGGAGGCTGCTCGAATCCGGGATACTTACTTGTCCCGCTACTCTCCCTCATCTCATCTGAGTCGAACGTGCGCTTTGGCCCTCGCGGCACCTCAACTCGATGCCGACTGGCGAAGACACTGTGGCTATGTTTCGGAGGAGGTGCTCGGGCGCCTACTCGTAGCCGAGGTACGTTTTCTTTGCGCGTGTCTTTTGACCACCCCTGAACACACGTACAGGCCTATTCACGCCTATCAAGCCGCCCATCGATCCGCGGCGTCCTTTTCTTACTATGATCCTAATTCGATTGCGGCTCCCATACGGTACGTTTATCCTTCTCCCACCCTGAGTAGCCGACCGTATTGACGACTTATTCTATTGCCTTTGTAGACGGCTGGCCATTGGTTCGCGCAACCCTCATGCGGCCTCATCGTGAATCGGACACGATCACGGTTGTATGGCTGTCGTGATGGTATTCGGCTTCTCCAGTTCGCCGTCGTGCTTGATGGGGCACGCCTCTAGAGGTAAGCGCTATATAACACCATATTCTTTGCGAGCTCTTTTCTAACGCATCATCATCCGTTCTACCCACAGGAGCCCAGGCACGCCTTGGCCATTGCTCGCGTCTCCGTCTCTCAATTCATTCGTCGCTTTCGAGCTGCTTGTTACCCGCAACCAACATGTCACTTAATTCGTGTACGGAAAGGCAGTTATCGCTCGAGATGTCGCTCGACTCGTCCCTCGGCGTCCCGAGCGCGCCTGACGATGCGGTGGTCATCCCGTCGCCGGCTATCCTCGGTACGTTAATCTTCGCCATCACGCTTGTACCAAGTTGTGCTTACCTGTGCCATAGGCGAGGAATCCCATGTACACGCTCTCGTCAGCCAATGGGGCCCCGCGGGTGGTGTCGCGCTTGCCGAACCCGACGCTGATGCCGCGCACGCCGATGGTCAAGACGGTGCTGCTGGCGCTGCAGTCCCGGTTCAGGCGCGACCTTCATTCTTTGCCTTGGTCGTGGCCTGGCTTTTGAGCCTGTTCTGCTCGTGGGGAAGAGGACCCGGTGTCGGATGATGGTTTCCTTTCTAGACTGAGTATTTTTCACCCCGCCTCGCTTGCAGCAACCACTTCTTCTTGATATTTCACGGACTATTTTCTTGATTTACGATCTTTGTGTCTCGTTGCATTGTACGCTGTCTGTCCCCCCTCCCCTCCATGCATAACACGACACATACCCCCCTACTTCATCACGCCACCGGACACACGTTCTTACACCCTCTCCGTCTGCCTCTCGTATAAAACCATCCGTTGTTGATGACCGAACTCGCGTGAAACAAGGCCCAGACTCTGTACCGATGTCGTGCCTTGCTTTCGGGCGCATCAGTGGCCTCGCTTAAGCTGTCGGGAGGTATAAAGCACAGAACGCGATCTCACGCCCTCGAGCCTCATGCATCGTCTCTTTACCTCCAGGTGTTCGACGTTGGTTTGAGTACGGCGTAGGGATCGATGCCTCGATAGTTGAATGCATTGCATTGGTGTGATTGCTATCATGAGATATTACTGTCTTGTTATTGATATGAGTCTACACGAGTCAATACTGCACCGAGAGCCGGAAGAAGCCACTATACTAGACAAAGCTATAATCACACAGGAGAGGGGAGCGCAAGAGATAGCCTGAGGGTTCCGAAAATTACTAGTAGGAGCGTCATCTGCCTCTTCCTCGTCCTGCCGATCCCCGAAGATCTCCGGCGCCATCTGCAGGGGATGGAGTGTCGCCATGGCGTTAGGGACGTGGGCGTGTAGCGTAGGAGGTGGTGGTCCTCGAGAGACGACACCTGCTCCGGCGTGTAGGGCTGATATGGGTTCGCATCCCGAAGATGACTATCCAATGCCCACTTGTGTCAAGCCAACGCCTCCTGAGGACGGTCGCGCATGTAAGCGTCAGGGATCGCGCGGCGCTTCGCGTGCGCGAGTAAGGTCACGCAAACGCCTTGAGGCAACGGTGACGGTCCTGGGCGTTGAGCGTATCCGGCGCCCACGCCGCACGGTACCGCCCAGCCGTCCAGATCAATCGGCCGCTGGAGTATGGCCACGGTCATCGCCATTCCTAGCTCGGCGTTGCTTCGGAGCCGTCGGAGCCATCGATCCGCATGAAGTCGGGCGTACGACGCTTTGCGCCCCTGCTAGCGGGCTCGGGGATGCCGGCCTTGTCCATTTCCTCGACGTTGTCGGCGGGCCAGAGTTTGTCCCCTCGTCGGAGGACGAGACTCTCATCGCGAAGAAGCCCGCTACTACGAGCAAGTCAGCCTCTGCGTCTGTCGCGTCAAAGGTAACCGATATACTTACTGTGGCTGTTCAAGTTGGCTCACGTTCCTAGGGAAAGGAGCGCGAGGTTGTCCAGCCCGAAAAGAGTGTGACGCAAGCTCAGAAGAACTTCGCGGACGTTTGGCCGGGTCGCTGCTCGCGTCGAAGAGAGGGGTCTCCGTGTACAGAATGTCGCACGGGGAAGCACATTAAACAGGGCAGCGAAGAAGATGGCGAGCAACACTTCCCCACGCTGTCCAGAAGCCTAAGCCTGAGCGTGAGCTTCCGGCGAGATGGACCACTAACGGGACGGGTAGCAGGTAAAGTCACCTTACCACTGATCACCCTTGTAGTTGATGTCGAGCGCTCAGGCAAGCCGCGCTGCCTTGAAGAGTGAGAGGTGTGGAACCTCGCCGGGCATACCATCCCCGTGTAAGAACCGAGGTGGGTGGTAATGCGCCGGTCGTGGGCTGTGCGCGTACATACTCGTTAGCCGTTGTTGCAGGACATGAGCGGTCAAGATAGTTTGAGAGAAGTCGCGTCGTGTGCGCGTGGGGATGCCGTGCGATAGGGTCGCGTGCGTCAGACGCTTGTGGCGCATCCGACCTTCGGCGCTTCAGCGCTCAGTCGAGTCGACTTACCTCTGCGCCCCCACCATGACTCTAGACCGCCTCAGTCTCCCTCGCCGCCTGCCGCTGCTGCATACGCCCTCGCCACTACCAACGGCCCTCCACAATCACCGCCTTCATCATAGGCTCATAAACGCGCCCCGCGCTCTCCCCCGTCCTGATGCCCTCGGTTCTTACACCAGGGGAGGTGCTCAGAAGTTTCCAGGGTACACTCGCGTTCGACGCAGCGGCGCCACCAGCCTGAGAGTCGCCTACACGCTCTGGCGAGGATATGACGGTGACGCCATGTTCATTTTGGCCATGCTCAAGGCTGTACGCTGACCTCGCACACCGCAGGTTCCTAGCTTTCCGATCAAGACCAAAGCCGCCACGGCTGCCATCAAGAACGAGCCGACCTCTGTGAAGAAGACGACCAGGGCTCGCGTAGTCGGGTCTAGGCTGGCTCGTCAATTGCTCACGCCTCAATTGGGGTCAAGTCACCGGCCATCAAGACCCCCTCCCCCCAATTTTATTCATATATGGCACTCATCATCCGTCTTCGCAGTATGACGAGGCTGCGTCGGTCTTACATGCGCACGCACCATGCTCACTGTTCCCGCTGTACAAGATAACGACTCTTCCTCCAGGCGATGCCAGCTGCGAAGCCGGTGCCATGAACTACGTGAGTACTACATCCTCCCTTGAATCTCTTTTCACACACCAATTTACTTCTAAAGCGCCATTCGGCCATGCGCTACATTGCGGTGCTTGATTGTGCCTCCCACACGCCCCAACCGCGTCCCACCATGATCTTGTGCCTCCTCGTTCAACCGCTGTATCACATCCAGTCTTACTTTGCTGGCCACAACCACTTGACGATAGTTTGCATGTTATGTGTCCTTACCTACTGCGGGCCTATCTAGTGCCGGAGCCCCGAAATACACATTCATCTTTGCATTTTACCCGCTCGTCGCCGGCGCTCGAGAACAGAAAACAACAATTGGATGTGTTCAGACACGGCTTCATCTCGCTCGCGGAGCCTCGAGCGAGTCAGTGCGGGACCGGTGAATGTTCACGAGCGACGTGGAAGCGGTGTAGGTTGTGCGTGTATGAGATCACCGGTCACAGACGCTCGTTGACGCTCGTTGATGCTTCATGAGGGCCGGTGAGCGGCCAGGCGTTTATATAATAACTCGCCTCGAACGTACTTTATTGTCATCCTTCTGAGCACCTTTGGCACACTCATATTGCGCATCATCATATACATTGCCATCGTGATATCTTCCATAGGAAACTGAATTCACGACAGGAAGATCGTCCTCCGCGAATCAACGTCGTATTCAACACGCTTT